GACGGGATGGGGTGGAGGAGGCCGGGCCCCAGCAGCAGCAGGTAAGAGGAGTTGGGAGGAGGTACAGGGAAAGGGACCTCGGCGCGTCTTGTCTTGAATTGTATTATAACTGTAATGTCTTCCTTATATTGTAAAGCGCTGTGCAAACTGTTGGCGCAGGGCCCGCACCTGAGGCCCTGCAGAGCCCACAATAGAGAGTCTCAGATGGGCTGTGCAGGATCTATGGTGTGCTCTGCGGAGTCTCAGGTAAGCCCTGAGTCCAGTGCGTTACTAAGCCTACATATAGCTATATACGTGCTATTCATAGCATAAAGGTAAAAAACGATATATGCAGCGTTATCTTCATTTTAGATGTCAAAAGGGTTTTGTGGCTCCCGGTGTTTTATTTTCTGTGGGAAACGGGTCCAAATGGCTCTTTGAGTGTTTAAGGTTGCTGACCCTGGCCTAGACCTTTTCTACCTATTGAAAGCAGAGGTAAGTATCCTCACAGAATGGGAAATAGAGTGAGCCTCAAAGAAAGTTTATCAATCTATGCAGCATTTTGCACCGCGTCTTATGTAAGGAGCGGAACAAGGCCGGATTTACCATTAAGCAGAGTAGCACATCCTTACAAGCGCCCTCCACTTCCTAATTCCCGGTGTTGTCAGGATACAATCCTGGCAATACCAAGGAGGGTGCGTTTTGTGCAGAATGCGCCCTCCTTGCTATTGCCGGGGTTGTATCTTGACACAACATGCTGCTCCAAGACCAGCGGCGCCTACAGGAACTGCCGGGTACTTCAAATGCAGGGGAAGGACTGCGTATGGCTGCCCTAAATGGCTGTCCACATGAGAAAGGTGTTTAGGGCAGCCATAAGTGAAGCTGGGGTCCTTCTCTGCTTATGTGAAAGCCGGCGGGTGCCGGCTCAGGCTAAACAGATTTCCATTTGTGCCTACAGGCGCCCGAAATAGAATGCAGAGACTGGGTAGATGCTTGTGCCAAGTACATTAATCCACCTTTGTTTCCTAGTAATTTTCCAATAAAGTATAAATGGTGAAGCTACATTTCTGCTTTGATTAGACCAGTGTGGTTTATTTAAGTGTGCCCTGTAGTTTTGTGTGTGATACAGGCTTTTATAATACATCAGTGTAAAGGTAAGCAACATTGTAACACAGTAACTGCAATAAAGACACATTCCTGTTTCAGATAAGCTGTCTGCTATGAAAGGGCCTCGCAAACATACAGGATTTGTTAACATCGAAATATTTGAGCATGGTATCTGGTAGCATATACGCTGCATTGGTCCTGGGCTCAGCAAAAATTACTCTAAACGTTTATTTCCGTGTATGACTGACATTATTTTTTGAATGCTGTTATGTAACCTGCACTAAAACTGCTTGTGAGGACTTGGGGGGATCATTTAAAAAGGAGTGTTATGGCCGGGCTCTTCACCCAGATTTTTTTTTTCTACTCCTAATTCTTTTTTTATTACTCTTCCCTGTAAAGTGGTTGTCAATCCCAAAATATTTTTTTTAGTTTTGAATAGAGAGGAGAAGGATTAAACCTTTGTTAATATTTTACTACTACCTGGGGCTCTGTTAGCCCTCGTTCACACCTGAACGTTTTGTAGCGCGTTCTACGCTCGACGAACGCTCTACAAAACCCTCAAAAATATAAATCCCATTGTATTCAATGGTCTCGTTCCCACCTTGGCGTATTTCCGCCCGTCCCTAAAGCGCTACAAAACGGCCCACGCCTGAAAAGGTACATGTACTTCTTTGGGCCGTTTTGTTGCGCGTTTCCATTGGGATACAGCCAAGTAGCCTTCGGAAACGCACGACGGTCGCGCAACTTTTTTACCGCGAACCGCAGTAAAAAACGTGCGACAGACGCGCATATGCAATACGCCTAGGTGTGAACCAGGGGTAAGAGAGATATCCCCTCCTGTCCTGCTGACAATGGTTTGAAAGCCCCTCTCCAGGAAATTATGCTGGAAATCTGCTTTAATTACACAGGAAGGGAGAAATAATCTGCATCAGGGACTTGAACCAAGATAAAAATCTAACAGGTTCTACTCTTCTTTTTTTGCTGTTAGAGACTTCCCCTCACTTCCTGTAAAATATTGTAAACAGGATAGGAAGAAAGGGTGAATATCTCCAATGGAGCCTCAGATAGGAGAAATAATCTCACAGGGTTAACACTTCCCCCTTATCCCCACCTTATCCATTGTTCCCTATACCAACTTAAAGTTTTTGGCTTTGACGCTTGAAAGTTATTTTATGGTGTGGATAGAAGCTGTTGCTGGTGGGTTGGGAAGGCTGCAGTAAGGCACTGCTGTGAATGGATAGAAGCAAGATACACGAAAGGAATTAGTGAGGCGCTTTTAGGATCAGACTGTTCTAACTATTCTGACTTGGTGTCTTGTTGCTAAATAAAGTAGCATGTAGTTTATTTAGTATTTTATTATACTAGAATTGTAACATTTTATGCTGTAGATGGTAATATTTCTTGAATATAATGGAGAAAAGCTAGGAAGTTCATCCTGTGAGGCAGATGAAAGCTAGGTTGTTTTGCATGTGTGGGCTTTTCCTTCCTACATAATCCATGCTTTGTCTTGGTTATCATCCCAGGATCAGAGTACTGGCCAGACCAGCTCATCTAACACATGATGTTCCCTCTTTTAGTTGGGCTGCCTGAAGTGACACAGCTTGATGGAAATCTACTACTGGAATGTAGCACTGCAGAAAGCATTTCTATTTCATTGTTCTTTGTAACTGGTTTCCATATCTGTGCACTATTTAAAGGGACAGGGTGTTTAATAGACACATATCCTAAAATAGAAAAGCAAACATTTTGCTAACCACATTGAACATTAATATTTTTCTAGGGACGACCTATTGCTTACCTATCTTGTTTCTTATGGCACACTGCTCTTCAGATATTTACCTTGGCACTAGCATGTTGGCAACTTAACACACAACTCATACCAGTACCATAGACTGAACTTACTGAAGGCAAATTCTACATCTGCACCCCAGAAAAGAACTCATAAATGCCTTTCATATGCTTACACCTTTATTTTTAAGCTATCATTTCAAAGTAGAGCAAAGACTAGGTATATTTTCTCTTTGCAAAATGAATGTTGGTGAATAAGGTAAAGCTATTTACTTTGAAAACCCCGAAATAAAAAGCTGAATTTTTGTTTGCACATTTTGTTAGTACAGAAGACCACAATGGATTTGCACAGTCCAATTGGGCATTGGATTGGGATCAGCTGTCCCTTTCTTACCTTTCTGCCTAATATCAGTGACCTTTACAATGCTGTGTTTCTGAGATTTGAAGAAGAGACAGGTGGCAGCATGCCAAGCAAAACTAGCTCAGTACATGTATACAAAAGGATTATTAGGGAGCATGCATAGTGCACTCTAGTAAATCGGGGACATGGTCAAAATATTGGTGTTTTAGGGTCTTTGGTTTAATAGTGACAGTTCTTTGTAGAAAGGGGTTAAGGCAGTTGTGGCAAGGCATGGCCAATTCTGGAATCGCAGGCAGCAGTGACATTGGATGGGCAGCTTTGACAATACACTGGTATGTGAAGCACAATGGTGAGCTGTGACAATACACAGTCATTGTGGCAATACATGGGTAGCTATAACAATACATGAGGACTATGGCAATATATATACAGCGATGACAATACATAGGAAATTCTGGAATCTGCACAGGCAGCAGTGACATTGCGTGGGCACCTTTTGATAATACACTGGTATGTGAAGCATCATGGTGATCACAGTCATTGTGGCACTAAATGTGTAGCTATTACAATATATGCATGATTGTGGCACTGCATATGCAGCCATGACAATAGGCATGTCACTGTGGCATCACAGGTACAGCCGTGTCAGTAAACATATAATTGTGGCAGAGTTTTGTGCCCTTTGAAGTTACCATAATTCAGGGCACAGCAGCAGGTACCTAGCTCTCTCTGTCCAGCAATATTTGTGTTCCCCTCCAGCAGTGACAAGCTGAGAGCAACTTATCCGTTCCCACTCTAACTGGAGCAGTGATGCTGACATCAATCCTCCAGTCAGCCGTGGGCAGGAGATTACAGCAGGCACCATATGGGCACAGTCCACCCCTAACTAAATCATTGTGTGGCTGCTGATCAAAGTCTGTCGGACCCAGTAAGAGAAGGATGTGCGTGAACATTTGCACAGTCAATGTGTTTATTGGAAAGCACTTTTGGCATGTTGAACACTTCCCCTTGTTGCTAGGAATTGCTCTTTAATATTATTGACGGTTACCGGCATCACTGCCAGGTGGTTTATTGCAGTGTTAGTAAAGGGATAATTAAAATTGTATTTTCCTTTTTTTATGCTTCAGTAATTTATTGTAATTAGTAATACATATATATTTTTATGACAGGACCATTGTTGGTGTGTCTGATGTCAAGTCTTTTTTTTTTGGTATACACCGATCAGCCATAACATTATGATCACTGAAATGTGAAGTGGTTAACATTGATTATCTCATTACAATGGCACCTGGAAGTAGGTGGAATATATTGGCAGCAAGTGAACATTTTGCCTCTAAGGTTAATGTGTTGTAAACAGAATAAATGGGCAAGAGTAAGGATTTGAACGACTTTGACGAGAGCTGCATTGTGATGGCTAGACGACTAGGCCAGAGCAACTCCAAAACTGCAGCTCTTGTGGGATGTGCCCGATCTGCAGTGGTCAGGACCTACCAAAAGTGGTCCAAGATGGGAAACCAGTGAACCGGTGACAGGGTCATGGGTGGGCAAGGCTCATTAATGCATGTGGGGAGCGAAGGAGGCCCCACCTCACAACTTGCTATTGGCTCTGTGGTAAATGAATGTATGATTAAATATTCTCTGGATGTCACATGCTTAGTTTCTTCATCTATACTGTCTTCATGCTGTATAATCTAGAACATATCTTGTAACAGCTTTATTTAATAAACCAAATTGTTAATATGCCGCTTGTCTGTCTTCCCCACAGCAAGAACTTATAGACAGTATAAGCAGGAAGCTGCAGGTCTTGAGGGAAGCTCGGGAAACCCTCTTGGAGGATATCCAATGTAACAACTCTTTAGGCGAGGAGGTTGAGGTCATTGTCAAAGAGGTCTGTAAAGCAAATGAGTTTGACAAGTTTCGGATGTTCGTTGGGGATCTGGAGAAAATCGTCAACCTTCTGCTGTCTCTGTCTGGAAGACTTGCTAGAGTGGAAAATGCCCTTAATAATTTAGATGAAACTGCCTCTCAAGAAGAACGGGTAAGCTACAAGGGAAAATGTTGTCATTGTGGGGAAAGCTGTAAGGTTTATATAGAAAACTTATATATATAGTAGAACATTAATGTAGAACATTAAGAATGCAGCTTTATACAAAGAAAAAATGGATTTGCTTTCCACATTGACTAAACGGGGTTCTGTATTCTATTCTTTGGAAATATGAAGTAAGCAGTCTGGTCACTAGGGGCCACAGAGGCTTCTACAATTTGATGTGCTTTTTATCAAAGTTAGGGTGTTATGAGATCGTGATCTTTTGAAATTATTTTTTACCAACTTGTCAGCAATATAAGGTGTATTTATATACAATTTGCAGAGCCATTTGTCCTGCGAAACACTGTAAATGTTTGTTCTGTGCGATTTATAGGCATAAATGGAGGTTCTTAGTATATTTTCTTTCTAAGGCGGATGTAATATAATGAAAATACCTTATTATGGCCACTAGATGGAACTCTAGCGGCTATAATGCAGTATTTTTGTGATATTACATTTGACTTGGATAGAAAATATACTAAGAACATTCATTTTTACTCCCTTCTCAAAGACCAAATGTTCACTGAGTTTCTCAGACTCTGCAATTTTTTTTTTATAAATAAAAAACATATTGTTCAAAAGTTTGTGAAAACTTGGCCATCACACCTATATGAGCCTGTTGGACTTCCAACTCCAAAGCCAAGAAGACCTTTTCCAAATAATTGCAATTATTTGGTTAATAGAGTTGAGGTTAACAGGCCACTCTTATTCAAAAAGGGCCTTCCAAACTGTTGTCATAGTAACATAGGGGAGGTTGAATAAAGACAAGGGTCCATCCAGTTCAACATATGTATGTATTTGTGTGTGTTTGTGTGTGTGTGTGTGTGTGTGTGTGTATTAGGGGTGCGGAAATTAACGATCCGATGACGTCGATGTCTGTGATGTCACCGGATCTCCGACGGAAGACCCGGAAGCCGGCGGAGAGGTGAGTACGGATCAGAAGAACTTTGATCGATCAAAATAATTTTGATATATCAAAGAAATTAACGATTAATCGACGGATTAATCGTTAATTTCCGCACCCCTAATATATATATATATATATACACACACACACACACACACACACACACAATCACACTCAAATACATACATAGGTTGAACTGGATGGACCCTTGTCTTTATTCAACCTCCCCTATGTTACTCCTCCCCCCCTCCCCGAGTGGCTCTGTCGGCTAACAAAGGGAAGGGGGGAGGAGTCGGGTGATGTAGTTGTCCGTGATAATATATAGCTCTAACACTTCCCATATCCTTGTATACTGTATGAAGTGAAACTTATCAAGAATAATTTATCAATGCTATCAGCAGATACCACGGCCTGTGGAAGGGAATTCCACAATTTCACTACTCTCACAGTAAAGAACACCCTATGAATTCTAAGATTGAACCCCCTTTTCTCCAACCTCATGTTGTCTCCCCTTGTTCTCAATACAGTTTTCTGATTAAAAAGTTTGTTCTGGATATTGTGGTCCCTATTGATGAATGTCACAAGGTTGGAAATGCATAATTGTCTAAAACTATTTTGTTTGCTGTACTATTCCCTTCAACTATTCATTTCATTGGAAACCTCAATCATATGAAGGCGTTTTCATATAGTGTAAAGGTGCCCATACACTGCACGATTATCGTACGATAATCGTATGCGATCGGGTTTTCGTCCGATAATCGAGCAGTGTGAACGGAGACGTGCGACCGTTTCTACTGTACGGCAAAACAAACGACAAACGCACTCAACAATTTGTTACCAGTTATACAGTAAGGTGCACACGAAATGGGCTTTGAACAGTGGTACAGTAGAAAGGCATCATGGCACACTCACAAACCAGCATGTAAAACAACTTGTCTCACCACAAAGGACAATGACAGAGGTTTGGATACACGTCTTCTGCAAAGGATGTGTAAGCCGCACTGCCGCGCCAAGGCACCTCCTATAGTGCGGCCCTAACTCTAAACTATGAGAGTCTCCATCTTGGAGCACATGGGGGCAGAAGATATCAAATTGGGTGCAGGCAGATCGTACGTTTTTTTAATCCCTTTACAACCATCGCAAGACTAAAGTCTTGCGATGGTTGTAGAGTGTATGGCCACCTTTAGTGTGATCAGCTGTCGACACATGTTTGGCCATATAGTGCATGTAAAAAAAAGTCACTCACAAATCCACTGCTTATAGATACATTTACTAAATGCATCCAGTTGTATTTTTAGCCCACATCAGGCAAATCTCTTTTACTACAACTAAAGGGTTTTATGAATATTTGTATAGACAGTGTTTCAAAACCTCGTAACAAGCATCCATTAGGTCATATTTAGTGGATTTCCATATAGAAAGTTAAACTGCATTACCAAAGCAGTAATTGCTTGATCTGTGGATGTGGGATGACCTGCAAAACATGCACTGTACATGAGACTTAAGACCAGTCAAAGAAACGCTGCCATAGACTGAATTGACTATGAAAGCACTTCAGTATAACACTTGATCATGTGAATAGAGTATTTTAACTCGCAAAGTTGCGCCATGGTTATTTTAACACCATTGTAAGAATAAACGTATTTATCATAAGAACAATTTAGTTCACAAGATTGGTGCCTTGGTTTACTCAGTTACAGAAGAACTCCAGAAATTTAAAACATTACCGTTGCAGTGGGGCTACCCCCACACTGTAAGCGTTAGGTGCTCCTTTTGGCTTGGGGACTCAAATAATGCAGATATACTCACCAGATCCTTGTTCTCTCCAGGCTGCTAGACCGGTCCCTTCAGCCTTTCCACCACTGGGCTCCAGCAGTCTAGGGACCCCTGGCGTCATTATGTCTAATGCAGGTCTACTGACTTGCATTAGATGTGATGACGTCAAGGGACATTCCACAGCGGGAACGCCCCTAGACCAAAATTAACACCTAACCCTTGCAGCGCAGGGGTAGCCTCACTGCAAGAGTTAGCTTTTTGTTTGTTTTTTAAATTGAGAGAGTTGTTCAATAACAATGTGTTACAAAGGGAGTTCATTCATTCTGAAATGACATATTGTCATTGATAAGTCTGATTACTGTACAGATACAGATCTGATGGGCTTCTATAGGTTACAGCACATAACTATGCCTTATACTGTTATGATTATTCAACAGATGGAGCAAGGCACAAAATGCAATACCACATAGCATGCACTCAGAAAGTACTTTACTAAAGCCAGGCCAGGGAGAACTGGATCCTAATTGCACATAGCATGTTATTTAACATTTTAGAACGACGAGGGTTATTAACAAAGCTACAGAAATGGCATTTTTCCCTGATTTCTTTTCCATATGTTCCTATTTGTTAGAAGAACCCACAATATAAGAAGACACTCATTATTTGCGTTCTATTATACATGATTTCTTTAGTAATACATAATCTGTTACTATGCTGATCTCTTAGAATGGTTTTATAGTACTGTTCAATTCTATTCTGGTATGATGCTGCTTCCCTGCTTTGCCGTATTGTATGTTTTTTTAAAGGTATGTTAAATTCTCATGTACAGTGCCTGAAGGCTCCATGTAAAGACATGCTTATACAATTCTCATGTTCAGGATAAATATTTTATAGTTTTCATAATGGATTCTGTGTCAATGGCATTCCTACAGGAGACAGTATGACTAGCACCCTGGACTTTATATCTCTTATAACACCATATATAACCATACCAAAATGAACAAATTGCTTGTTCTCCTGAGCCTGCCTGCCATTGTGTTAATACACGCTGTCATGCAAATAAACTTGTCAAGTAGATTTCAGCTGGAATATGATGATTTTAGACTCTTCAAGACATTTGCAGAAACTGCTATTTAGATACATTGCTGAAATGATGAGTGTGAAAGTTTTATCTTCATTTATGAAAATTGGAGGAACTGTTGTATATATGCACCTAATAGACTATTGTACAGCTATTGTAAGTAGGGTGTAAACAGGAATTGTGTATTAGGGGGACACAATCCCTGTTCATACTCTACTCACTACAGCTGGCAACAGGCCTGAAATCACTGCCATGGATATCACATACAGGAGCACAACTACAGCTATAGCTAACCATAATATTGCAGAGGGGCTCAGTAGCATGGGGTAAAGTTTGGCTGCATAATCATTTATTTTAATGGCAGAAGCATTAGGCACTTATGAAAGACTCCTAAGAAAATAAGTGCTATCCTAGACGCGTGCTTATTGTTTTACCCCAGATCTGTGGATTAACTTTAGGGTGCATTCTAGGGATTTTTGAGTATCCGTACCGGTACTCTTTATCAGCCGTGGCATCCCAGGCAATCAGGAAGCCGGACAGCGTGTCGTGACCCACCACCCGCTTCTTGATTGCCCGGGAATCCGGCTCCATGCTGTTTGCCTGGCTCAATGCTGATTGGCCAGGAGCCGGCATCCCAACCAATCTGCATGGAGCCGACTTCCCGGTCAATCAGGGAGGCGGCTCATTACCCATGACCCGGCTTCCTGATTGGCTGGGAAGCCATCTCCATGCTGATTGGCTGGGAAGCTGGCTTCCCGGCCAATCAGGAAGCTGGGCCATGAGTCATTACCCGTGGCCCAGCTTCCTGATTGGCTGGGAAACTGGCTCCATGTTCCCTCGCGGCACTGACTGTCAGAGGAAATCGCGCCCAAATACTCGGTATCCCTAGTGCATTCACCACAAAATCGAATGGAAATCTCAAGTCATTGGAGGGTCCGTTGACTTGCAATTGCACTTTTCCGATTTCCTTCCAATCCGTTGCGATGCGATCCAGTTTTCAACAGATGCTAACCGAAGGGCATTGAAAAATGAATGGGTGTGAATGGGACTTGTTCACACCAGATCCGTTGCATTACATTGCACTGAAAAAAGTAGTGCATGTTTTACTTCCTTTTTTTTTTTCTTTCAATGCAACGGAAAGGAGCGGTGTGAACTAGCCCCATTCACACTTCATTTTTCAACGGATCGCAGCGCAACAGATCCGGTGTGAATGGGCCCTTAAGATGGAGGATCTGGTGACCATGCACATATTTGCTGTGGTGCCCTGTCATTTGTAGTTAAACCTGCTTGTTCATATGTCAGAATTGTTATTATTATTCATGGTGAGTTAGCGGTTGGGGATTTTATCGGTATGTGCAATGTCATCCAGGACCTGTAGTTTGTACCCTGGGATCAGTTGACCTCAAAGAAAACTATATGAATAGATTGAGGACTATGTCCGCGTAAAAATAAACAAAATGCCTCCTTCCAGTAAGCCTACCCCTGCACTGCAGGGGTTAATTGCTAGTGTTTGTAAGAGGGTAAGGTGTAAAGAACTTTTACTTGATCTTTGCTCCCTGGCGGTAGCTGCTCACCTCTCTCCTCTCCACCCCAGCTTGTGAGCTGTCCTCGGCATCCTCATGTATAATGTGGGGCTAAATCTCCTCACTGTTTAATTGACGATGATGATTGTTACACATCGTGAATAATAGTGCAGAATTTTTGATTGTGAAGGTAATAATTTGAAAAAAGTTACCATTTAGCTGGTCTGGAAATGATATAGTAGCTGTGCTCTAAAATTCAGAAATCATTAAGCTTTAGTAGCTAATAAATTCTGGCTTGTACTTTATTCCCGGCTTGATTACATATCCTATAATTGCAGCCTAGAGTATAGCCATGTTTCCGGCCAACTGTGTTATTGGGCTGGGGGAGTTCAGTTTGCACTGGCAGCTCATTGGTGCCAGCAGCAACACCCTTACCATTTCTCCTACACTGTGGGTCTGCTGAAATATAGCTGTTTTGTAGCAATACTTTATCCAGCAAACCTTTTATCATAGTGTCACCTGTGTGAGTCAATTTTAGACGACAATTCAGATTGTTTACAATAGGACAACAGCCTGAGAGCCTTAGGCCCCTTTCAGATGGCCGCTCTAATCGGGTCCGTCTGTTTTTTAGGCGGACCCGATCAGATGCCCAATGCGAGTCTATTAACCTCCGGCTGGCTCTGAAAAAACAGAAGGAACAGCGTTCCGTTTTGACAGACTGGATCGTGTCGGAACGTGGGTAATCAGATGTAAAAGGACACAATACTATTTACACCAGATTCCCCATAGACACGCACAGGTTCCTGCGGTTTCAGCTTTTTCCTCTATCACAAGTTGGAGGAAAAAACTGTACAGACGCGGATGTCACAGCGGTGACATCCGATCTGTACCACTGTGACGGATACTCTCATGATCATTTTTCAGGTTATCAGGTTTCCAACACACTACAGGGTTTAAAGGACAGGCTAACATCTCACCATTCCAGCACAACAGCTGCCTGTTTAAGACCAACTGTAAAGAGATTTTCATTTACTTATTGCCATTGTTGTCCTGAAGTTAGAAAATGTTTTTTCTTTTTTCAGCTAAGTTTAAAGCTCAACTCCAGACAATGTTTTTTTTGTTTTTTTTTTATAGATTGGGGAAGGATTGGGATCTCTATCAGGCTTTTATTGCTGTCTGTGACTCCATTGTGGATATTCCCCCCCCCCCCCCCCCTGCATATCTCTGTGACACAAGAACAAAAAGTGGGAAGATAAGTAGTCACAGGAAAAGGGAAAGACACTCCACATTAAAAATATATCAAGGTGCTATCCTTTCCCATTGTTCTATATGATGGGTTTTTATTGTGGTCGGTCTCTGTCACCAGTGGAGAGATTTTTTATTTACTTCCTGTTTATTTGGTTCCCTGTTCTTAGCACAGGTAGTGAGAGGACATTCCCCTTTCCCTCCTACATTGGGAACACAAAATGCAATAACTGCCCAAGAAGTTCTGAAGCTTCCTCATTCAATTCACAATGTTTTGCTTGGCTTTGTCCTGAACTTTTTTCCCTACAGCAAATCAGTGCTCAGTGAGGCGAGCAGCAAGTCAGCTATTGGAACGTTTTTATGTATAATGTGACTATTGTATGTTTTGCTGTGATGCTAATCAGTTTGAACATTTTGTCTCTGTACAGCGGACGCTAGTTGAGAAGAGGAAGCTGCTGACGAGGCAACACGAAGATGCAAAGGAGCTAAAAGAGAACTTGGACCGCCGCGAGCGCACAGTTTTCGAAATCCTGGCGCACTACCTTAACGAGGAAAACCTTGCAGACTATGAGCACTTTGTGAAGATGAAATCGGCACTCGTCCTCGAACAACGAGAACTGGAAGACAAAATCAAGTTGGGAGAAGAACAACTCAAATGCCTAACTGACAGTCTCACCGCGGAACGTGTTAAATAGCAAATGGCAGCGCCAAAGCTGGACTTCTGGCCGGGCTATACCGCACATTTCCTCATTTCCACATGTGACTGTGTTACACAGAATGAAAACACACTTTACTAGCAATAATTTTTGAGCTGATTGGAAGACATATATTTAATTTGTTTTTTATTCTGTGTCGGACTGGACATATTTTAGATCCATAGGTGTTTCTCTTAGAAATGCAGATTTAAATATACAATGTTAAGTTCTCCATATAGCGAGTTCTGTTACAGTATCCTGCACGTAGCCAGCATCCTCGTTTGCATCACATATAATATATGATACTTGTAGGACTTCCTACAGCACAGCGATGAATCAAGCAACCACAAATTTAACCTTCTGCAGATTCCTTCTCTATAAACCCCGGTAGAGTGAATACCTGACAACCTTTTTATTTTGCTGTCTCATTTTTCTTTTCTGATCTCTTCCCACCACAGTTATGAAGAAGTTTTACCATGTTGAAAATCTGCCGTTGTCTCACTTTTCTCCTGGAAAAAAAATAATAAACAGCATAAAACATATGGAGTCGGCATACATTTGATTTCATGGAGTGAGAGGGGAAAAGAAAACCATAAAAAAGTTTAAAGAAATTCTCAGGGCACCATGATTTACAGCACAACACGAACATCACATTCCTAACCGTCAGATATTTTGAAGTAAAAACACTTTTTTTTCATTTCATTGGTTTTGGCAGTTTGTCATTAAAAAAAAGAAAACTTTGAGGGCTTGTTGACACCAGAATGCATTTTCCTGAGTTTTCAGTGCAGAAGATTTGTAGAGCTTAAAAACAACAAAACAAAAAAACCACAAGATTAATAGAACACCTCGACGCTAAATGTGATAAGCTGACATGTAGCAGCTACATTAAATCCCAGTTCTACAAGTCCTACACCGTTTTATCTTTTTTTAGTCCAATGCTCCTGCATGTTAAGAATTGTGCATGATGCTTGCTTGCAAATGCCTTACTCTACTGCTGCTTCCTGCTATCACAGCCCAATGCTTTAGGCTCCATTTACACCTACATTTTAGGTGAAGTTAGGGATTCCTAACTTTAGGGACTGATCATTAGGGACTTGCAGGATTCCCTAAACTTCTCTAAAAGTTGTTTACAAATGGCAGCCATCACCCATTCAAGTTGAAGATCAGGTGACAGCCGCTGCATTTGAATGCAACACATACCATGTAATGGTATGTGATACGATTATGTGCGGTTAAGAATCACACTCCCTGGACGCACGATCGATGTGATACGATTACATACGGTGTGCCGATTTCAAATGCCCCTGTTGTCATCCGATCATTAACTTGTATGGGTGACAGCTGCTGCTTGTAAACAGCAGATTAGGGATTCCTGCTATAGTAAAACACAAGTTCCTGATGCTGGAATCCCTAATTGCACCTAAAATATATAGTAGGTGTGAATGAAGCCTTATGCTGGCAGATCTAACAACCACAACCCCATGATGTGTCCTCACACGGAATTATTTTTCTGGGGTGTGTCAGACCAGGTCGGTTACTAAGTGCTGGTTTCTGAGAGCACTGGGCCTTTCCTGTACAGTCATATTTGGACACCCTGTACAACTGCTGTAACAGGAAAGTGGAGGTAGGTCTATGAAAATAGTTTGTTAGCACAATGTCTGAGTGAATATCTGTTTCCATTACTTTAATTGGGCTTTAAGAAAAGGAGCATTTTTGCTCGATCGGTCTGCATTTTTTAGGGTGCTGAATGACTATCCTCACAGTGTGTCTAAATTCCCTGACAAATCTGGTTGGAACATGGAGCAAAGACAAATATGATGTTGTTTCGCATGGTAATACCTCATTAGGCAAGTCAGAAATTATCTTTTTCTTAGCCTGTGCAAGGGAAAATAAGTCTGTAGTAACCTGCTGCAACTAAACAGTGTAAGGGCTTGTTCACACTATGGGGTTGATTTACTAACCTTATAAACACGCCACGAACAAGTATACACCTCTGTAGTGTGTTCCCTCCCAGCATGATCTATTGGTGGAATCTAGACACCTTTGTAGTGTGTACACACCCAGCAGGTGTGTTGTGCATTAATTGCAAGGTGATGTGTAAATTAGCTCTATGTTGTGTTGCTTGCGTTGATGAATGCAAGGAATGTAAATGCATGAGCTAACCATTTTTGTCTAAACTGTGAAGCAGCATTATATATGCATCATGTGCATGATTTTTCCACATATGGCATTAGTGGAAATATGCTTTTAGAGACTTTTTGGTTGATAAATACGTTTTGCTGTGTAAAAATCACACGCACCTAGTGCGTGCGTGTGTTTAGGTTAGTAAATCACCCCCTATATGTGGTGACTGGTGACCGTTGGCTAACATCAGTCACCGCTAGGGCTTCGTTCACACCACAACACGGGTGTGACATGAGGGCGGTGCACTGCAAAAAATGCAGAACTGGACCACACCACAGGTCACTACAGCACAGTACACCACACTGCTGTTCAAAGACCTGAATGGAATATACACTTTGTACACTCCAAATAGAGAAAAAAGTGCATCACACTGTAATTCCACCAGGTCCGGTCAGAACACACTGTTGTGAGAATGGGTCTTTAGTGTATTGGAACCGTAATAGTTACATAGTATTTGAGGTTGAATAAAGACATCAGTCCATCAAGTCCAACCTATAAATAGGTTAGTTCTAACTGCTGCAGGGTTACCACAATTTTCACATCAACTCGGCTTTATTATGAGTCACCTTTATTCCACCTTCTATGTTTACAGGCTGATAATAGGTAGTAAAAACCCCCAAAATCTTCCTTAATTATTCAATACCAACAGTGGCAGTGTAGTGATGTCTGAGATTGCAGTCACTGGTTGGAGGAAAACAGGACCTCATGGTGTTGATGGACACAGGGAACGTAAGAAGGTGTCTAGTTTTAGTTTAACTACTCTCACACCGGTGCACCCCGTATGGACCCGAGAAATTTCTACATTTCTGCTATTAGCCTTTTTTTTTCTTTATCAATAACGTCATTACCTAAAATACCAGTAATACATATGTTTTTTTTTAGGACAAACAATGCTTTCTTTTGGTGATATTGTACTGCAAATATTATTTTATTTTATATGCAATCCATAGAAACAATTTGAAAAAAACGTTAAAAAAAAAACTTTTTTTAACTTTATGTCTACGGTAATAGTGTTACCGTAGACATAAAGCAAAAGTTTTATTCTATCATTTGTTCAGTTTGAATTATGCTGAAATTAGGATTCTGGCACAAAGCATCACAAAGCTATTTACAAATTAAACAAAGGGGTTTTTTTTCCACTTTTGCGCTTTCTTTGAAGTGTGACATGTTTTAAATTATGGTTAGAAAACTATTTTGAGAAGTACTATGTGTGTGGATTATGAGTATCACACCCCTAAATATATGAAGCAAAAGGCCACCTGGGCACAAATATCCAGGGGCTATGTTATTGTGGGGCTTTCAATTGATTCTCATAAAAAAGATATAGTGACAATGAGATACATAAAAAAATAAAACAAAAATACCATACATGAATAAAATCTGAAAGCACAGATACTTTCGAAGCAGTACGAACCCGCCCAGAACCTTAAAGTGACATTAAACCCTCAGATTTTTTAACATAACACAATACTGTAATGTGTGCCTTACTGTAATCCATGGTTGTTTCCATTCTCTTTGCTGCTCTTCCTTTTTAAATCTGTATCTATTCTCATGCTCTGCAGAACTTCTGTTTTGCAGCAGACTGCCTTGTCTCAGGAATGGATACACGGTGTCTGTGTATCCGTTTGTATAGGCTTGTAACCTGAGCCAGCACTACAGGAAGAGGCACTGAGCTGAAAAGGGAAGTTCTTCCCATGCATGAGAAAACATGAGGATTTAAAAGGAAGAGCAGCAAAGAGAAGGGAAACTACCATGGATTACAATAAGGCACACATTACAGTATTGGTTTATGTTAAAAAATCTGAGTGTTTAATGTCACTTTAACTATATCAAAATAATTTGTCCATGGTATTCTTTGTATATAGACAATGGTTATTAATATTTTCCTCTTCATTGGCTGATATATAAGCTGGGGATATAGTGGTACTTCACGTGATTTCTCAACTTATTTCATCCTTTGGCTTCCTCGGGAGAAGGAGGGTTCACTAACATATTCAAAATAAAGTAATGAACAAAGAATATATTGAAATACCAAAACTAGAAAGAAAATATCTTCAACATAATCACAAAAAATAGCTTAAACATACATGGTATCGTATATGCCGGAAACCCTATTCCACCTGTGTGTGATGGGGTGATCTTGTCCCTATTGCACCTGTGTGTGATGGGGTGATCTTGTCCCTATTCCACCTGTGTGTGGTGGGGTGATCGTGTCCCTATTCCACCTGTGTGTAATGGGGTGATCGTGTCCCTATTCCACCTGTGTGTGATGGGGTGATCTTGTCCCTATTCCACCTGTGTGTGATGGGGTGATCGTGTCCCTATTCCACCTGTGTGTGATGGGGTGATCGTGTCCCTATTCCACCTGTGTGTGATCTTGTTCCTTTTCCACCTGTATGTAATGGGGTGATCTTGTTCCTATTCCACCTGTGTGTGATGGGGTCATTGTGTCCCTATTCCACCTGTGTATGATGGGGTGGTGTTGTGCCTAAGTATACACTGCTTCAGGATCCCACGGCAGCCAGACACAACCAAATGCTTAGAGAGGTAAGCTTGGCAGAGCTTCTTTTAGCATTCTAAAACTTAAAGCTCAAATCTAGCTTAAAGGTATATTTTTCGTTTTAACAGTGTTGGTTATAGCCAAAAGTGTCAAGTTTTTATTGCTGTGTGAGGATTTTCAGTGGCACAGGGACAAGAAATGAGTGAGTGCCGGTGCCCCAGGGTCAGAAAGACACAGAGCAGTAAAAACCTGACACAGGCTCTTACCTTTCCTCACTTTATTAATTAACTTGGATTTTGTTGCTAGCTGTGTCCCATCAGAGAAATCTCCCATTACTTCCTTTTACTTCTCACTCGGGCATGAAGTGACACAAACACTTGGCAGGGGTTGTAACAGTGCACACTATGTACAAAGGTTAAAAAAAAAAAGGTTTTGGGTGTTCTTGTGTTTTAACCCCTTCATGACTGAGGCCTTTTTTTCATTTTTTGTACCCACGTTATATTCCACATTTTAGGCCTGAAAATTACTTAAAACCCCCCAACATTATATATTTTCTGAATGCCAAGACCCTATAGAATAAAAGGTAGTAGTGAATTGAGAAAGCTGGTTGGATGACCAGTGAAACGCCTTCAAGAAAAATACAGAAAGTCCAGTTGCCTTGACTTATTTTGAATGAGAACCTTCCCAGACATATTTAAGGTAGTAGGTTTTATGGGCTTTTACTGCAGTTTAGATTTACTTTAAAGAGGCCCTGTCAGGTCTCCAAAGATACAAAACTACAAGTATTGTGGTAACTGTTGCAGCTTATCATATAGTATCTTTAGGGGTTAGTCAGGGTCTCGCTAAAGATAACACAGCGCCTGCACTGTATTGGGTTTAATTATGACAACGCCTCCATTAGCAACTAGTGCCTTTTACATTATTATAGATCCTTTTCTTTTTGTAATTTGTGCACACATTTGGGCTTAT